TATATATATATATATATATATATATATATATATATATATAGTGTGAGCACCCCAGGGCGGTCATTCTGCTGGCAGATAGATCACTTTGAACACGTGTTCCGAATAAATACCGGTGCACTCACCTGGGCTTTGAGACTGTTCTCGATTGTCTGGTGTGTTCGGATCGTCCATTTCCTGCATAGGACAGGAAATCGAAGAAGAATGTTGATTTGACTAACACAGCTTGACAAAAAATATTCAGAATACCATATGTACAGTATAATGTATGACATAGTATATAACCAGACTGAACTACGTGCCTGGTTGGCGGCGGCGAAATGATGGAGTAGGAGGTTTTCGTAGATAGCTTGCTAAATAATAAAGAGGAAATAGCAGCTCTTTTTGCTTCCAGATTTATCAGTCCCAATTAAGGGCTTCCAAACACAAAGAACTTCTTGGTCCGGCAACACAAAGGAGTTAACATGGATGGTTTTCATATTTGTTTTGAAAGTCATTCGGTTCACCCGTAACTCTAGCTAAAAACCAACGTGTTCTAAATTTCACTACAGACCGTTTTCGAGCTGATATGTGAGAACTCAGTGGAAGGTACTTCCTCACAAACTCCCAAAAACAGGACCCGCTGGTACTGAAGTCGCAAACAGAAAAGACAAGTACGGATCTACCACAGGAATATACATATTATCCTGAACAACTAAATAATGCTTTCCGCCACTGATGGCGTTAGAACTTCAGAATCGTCACTGGTCATTACAGAGTAAAAAGAGAGCTATCCATATGCTTCATAACTTGCACTCTGCTATCCGGCATTGATGAACTCCGTGATGAGAATGATTCCGTGAAATTTCACTGAAGCACTGATTCACTTTCTTTACACTCATGACTCAACCCCACCCCTCGTGACCCTGCCTTCAGTAAGCAAGAGGAAAATACCAAATAGAATAGCGGTTTTGAGTACTGCTTGAAGACCAAAGAAATGTTATGTGCTGTGTGTTATGCACGGTGTAGGCTTCAGAGTTTGGTTCAAATTTCCAAGATCAGTTCCGCTTATCACTTGGAAATACCTAGGAATGCTGTTCGGTATTCCTGTTTGAAAGCTTCTGGGGTTCGTGTCAGCAGGAAATTTATGAGCCTGTAAACGTAACGAAAGTGTGACGCCGTATGTTATTTGGGCTAACTTAGATTCAAGTGGTGAGGCTAAAAAATAGTGGCAGATTAGGGAACTAGAATGTACGATCCGGAGTTTGACTGAAATGAAATAGTGTCCAGATAGCTTGTCCGAGATTTAGAAGAATGGTTCAGTTGAATTTAGTACTTATCGTGCCAAAATGATAAATTAATCTGGCAACCTTTCCTCATCGCTTTAATCTAAACTTCACCTCTCCTAAGAAATGTGGTTCGAAAGGCGTTCCGTCAAGCCAAGAAAGCAACCATAGTCGGATAACAGTTAAGCACCTATGTTTATTGCTTACTCTATTGTCAGTGATTTTTATAAAGATGGTTGTTTTTAGAACTTTCAATTCACGAAATTGTTAGTTTGTTTAAGTGACACGTTGCAGCGGGAAAAAAGAACAGAATACGAAGGAGAGCAGATCCAGTGCTAACATACTGTCAACAGTCAATGACAATAAATCAGCAAACTCAGGCGATTGAGCTGATGTGGTAAACTGCTGAATACAGTAAAATTGCACTTAACAGAACGTCTTCACTTCTACTATTGTACTTGTCTACAATGACTTAAAGCCGGAAAGGGATCACAACCTCTCCACCAAACCTAATTATCGAAAAATCTTTTCGTCCTTGCTCACAACACCAGAGAAGTACTTCTTGAATCGGAGTTCAAGAAGCGTAATCCCAAACCCAGCCTGCGAAACGCTGTCCCGAAATCGTGGACCTAAAACTTGTTGCAGTGGGAACAACTCGAAACTTCTCTTTCGTATACCGTAACGAATGTGGAGTCGAACTGAATATTCAGTGGTATAAATTTGAGGAGTAACCAGCTTGCTTTTCCGTACTGTCACGTTTCACCAGACTTCAGTTCAACAGTTGGTGTACAAAGTCTCCTATAACGAAGGCGAACACGACTTACTGGACCATATCCACGGTACATTTTGATGCAGTTTCAGACTTTTGCCAGGGTTCGTAGAAAGATGAGCAGCCATGCATAAGTAATGGGGGAAAAGCAGAGAAAAACATTCGGAACGATGGTTTTTGGATTAAAATCGAGCCAGGTAACGTGATTCGGTAGAGTAGTGGAGCAACGATTACCCACGAAATCAATTAGATGTAAGTATGACCGTTCTGTTTCGTTGTTCAAGAACAAAATACTGCTTGAGCAGCACACCCCATTAATACAATCGTCCTTTTCATGTTGTTTCTGTTCAAATACCGACATTTTTGTTGATGGTACTTGTATTCGAGGAGGAATGTTAACAACTGAACATGTGCAGTTTTAAAAATTACGATAATCAGTAAAATGGTTATCTCGGCTAACTGAATCCCACCGTTGTACAAATCTGCCTACGGAACCGGTTAGTTTTTCTAGAGGAAGCAGACTTCCGTTATTTTCGACTAATTAATTTGTTTGGTTGTTTGAAAAATAGGTAAAGACAGATATTTTGCCTCCAAACAGAAACATGTTTAAAACTGGTTCGATCCGGCCACCTACTCTTCGGGGGGTAAAATGACTTCTGCTTTCATTTGATCCATCTCTACAATGTTTTCACGCAACTTGAAGGAAAGCCGAAGAAATTAAAATCAATATGCGCCGTAGTTTACTTCGTATGTACGATTTTTGTAAGCAAGGCTTTCTGAGAAACTGCTGGAGCTTTACTTCATGTAAACGGTCCTCAACGAAAACTGCGAGACATGAAACCAAACTACTTCGTAGTGTGCTGGAACAGTGCTTGTTGAGACGGATAAAAAGAAAATGTGTTCCGACGGTAAGCTTGTCAAAGAAACGGTCTGAGTTCACACAAACGTGCTAGCAGTCCTTTGTCAGTTATGAGAACTTGAGAAAAGCCGTTGCTTCGGATTCCGCCAGCATAGTCATCTCTGTTACATATGATATTGAGAAGTAGGCCACCGAATACCCATGCTGTTTTATTCGGAGACTCAGACAAGTTAAGCTTAATTTCAATGTTTCTAGGTCAGTTCTGAAAATGGAATCATTGTACACACATCTTTACCTGGTTATGTGAATTGACCTGGGTAACTACACTCAGAGCTCTTGGATTTGTAAAGGTAAATGATGTCTTATACGGAAGTTCTTGCCCAAATAAGGAACATACCCCAGATAATATACTCAACTTTGTGCTTATGGAACAGTGTTTTTTTGCCTGGACTCGTTTGTTCTGAAATTGAACTGCCAGATCTTGTCAATAAATTCACTCTATTGAGCATTAGAGGCAACCTGTTACTTGGAATTCACATTTTAATGTGGCTAGAAATTTTTTTTTCCGATTCAGAGTACAATTTACCTGAAAGTAATTATTTGACAAATATAAATGTTTTTATCGGACTTTGATCATCACTGTTCCAGCCAACTGATATCTACAAAACCAGATTCTTCTTACATCAATCAGATGATTGGACACTTTAGTAGGGAACCTGATTAATAAGAAAGAAAGAAACCATTACTTGGCTACCGGATTTATGTACACCAAGTACTGTGTTTGTTGTTAGTCACGGCGATTCGTGCTTCGAATGAGCTCAAGGGACGAGGACACCTTATCAAGTACAAATCACTAATCTGGTACGACCAGACACCATGAGTGGACACTATTGTGGAGATTAGAGCCAATCTGTGGTATAGCAATAGATTATGCTAGCAGCAATTTTCACACAGTCAAAGTCATGCATGTTTTTAATTTTCTTCCGTTTTGTCTGTCCAGTGTTTTCAAATAACCTATTTTTATGGCTTACAGACCCACTATAATGTTTGGCCCCACTGTTATTAAAAATATTGTGGTTCCTCGATCAATTTGGGACAAGATAATAAGGACGAGGTTTCAGGAACCATTCGTTCCGTACATCTGTCCAAAAGTCTGCTCACCATATCACATCAGCCTAAAACAACGCTTATCGATTCCAGGGTCAGACTTTTTGTCACTGTGCATTTAATCGGTTCGGGACCCAAAGTCAACCTTAACTCTTGCACCAAAAAAGTGGAGAAGGGATTTGAACTGCTTTGAGGCTATACTTATTTGTTTTAAACCTATCCTCCGCACTCTGAAAAACTTAAGAACCGTTGTTGGTTTGCCTAGGTTTCATAGGCCTTCCACGTTGGTTCAAAACCATTCAAGTATTGTAAAATACACTGCATTGTGTGACTTAAGCTGTCTTACACATGTAAAGACTAAAGAGAGTACGGAATGAATTCATCTTGAAGTCTTGTTTCTCCCAGTGTATTTGTTTACTTCAACGGCCGTATGATTTTCCGTTTTAGCACCCTATCTAAATTTTACTAATATCGCTCAAACTGCTATTAATTCTTGGTTAACTGTGTAACCAGCGGTAAGTAAATCACCAAGAAGTAGCTATACAAACCAGAAAATTTGTCGGTTACTTCTCCGGTAATTTAAGGATCCCATTTGTTTTGACCTCTGGTCTAACCTGCAAAAATGTATGATGAATGGCGTGTAATTTTGCTCGGGCATTTTAATTCCGATAAAATTTTTCTTAAGATTCAACTTGGTAACTTTGTGCTTTGAACTAAATCAGACTTTAGACTTTAACCTATATCTGAAGGTGTACCTATCTGCGTGCTTCCTACCAAATTCCCTGAAAATGCTGTAACACCAGAAATACTATGCATACCGTTACTGTATCCCGCAATTCGCACCAAAGGTAGGAGTGATAGTACTATGACCAATCACCTCAAAAACGCTATCTGATATTCGCCATTCAACGAGTGCCTGGAGTTCAGTGCCTGTTGCTCGACTACTACAGCATATGTGGGCAAACACTTTAGCAGTTGTTCCAGTCAATGTCAGCATCCAAATGATGAAGCACTTGTCTGAGGAGTGCAGGCTTGCTTAGTTTATCCAAACTTCGACTCAATATATATTCCCCAGAAGTGGATGTTAAAAATGATTAAAGTGAACAGGTGAGACCAAATACAACGGTTCTATTGCAGTTATCCAATAGCAGAAACATGGCTGGAAAGAGTTTTGAGT